GGGTTTTTTTTTTAATCTTTTTTCTCCTTTCTCCCCAGTCACTCCTCTCTTGACTCTCTTGGAGGTTTTAAAAAATTTGTACATGTTTCTAATACACTATGTTCCCATTGCTTTTGGAAGTGTACAAAACCTACTTCACCTTTTTTTTCATCTGGTCTGTCCCCTCACGCCCCCACATTCATGTTTTGATTCCTTTCCCCCTTTTACCTACTCCCTGCTGAGAAATATCTGTCTTCCTTTTGTAATTAGATCTTTAATTTACTTTGGAATTCTCATGCAACAGAAACAATGTGATATGTTAAGCTTGTGTGTCTGATTTCTTACCCTTAGGATTCTAGTATCAAGATGCATCCATTTTCCTGCAAAGGATTCAAGTTTATTTTTCTTTATGTCAGAGTAGTACTTCACTGTGCTTCAATAGCTGCTGTAGAGAGGCAGAAAGGCAACAACCAAGAACTGCTCTGACTTCAGACTCGTTCCCTTTCCTCCTCTAACTGAGCCCAACGTGACCATGTACCCCACAAAGCAGGAGCCCTTGCAGCACTACAACCTCCTGCTCTGCTGAATGAGTGGCTTCTATCCAGGCTACATTGACGTCAGATGGTTCCAGTATGGGCAGGAGCAGGATGACAGGGTGGTGTCCATAGGCCTGATTCAGACAGAGACCGGACCTTCCAGACCCTGGTCATGCTGGAAATTGTGCCTCAGAGCTGAGAGCTTTATGTCTGCCAGGTGGAGCACTTGAGCTGGAGCAGCCCTGTCACTGTGGAGTGGGATGAGTGGGGACCTCCTGACTCCTCAGTTCCCCTCCAACTCACAAGGGGTCGCCTTGCTGTACAGTGTTTCCATTTACTCCATCTTCTCCTGTCCTTCAGAAGGTTCACGGTTGCAGCACTGGGAGAGTTTCTATAAACACACATCTTTGACAGGGAGCTCCCTGTCATGGAGAACAGAAGATGTCCCTGTCTTGAACCTTTTCGTGCTATCACTGCTCATAGACACTTTGGCCATATCTCACCATCCTCCCTCTCGGGTGGGTCTGTGTTTCACGGTCTGCTCTCCTCTATTGTTCATCGTGGTCAGGAGGAGGGCAATGCAGGGTCTTCCTAACAGGGGTGAGACCACTCTCAGCTCTTTCATGAGCTCTTCACCCTAGAGGGTTACTCAGCCTCACTGAGCTGCAGATGCTGCCCTCATCAACGGTCCTGAAGGACAGGAGAGGATGGATACTTCGGGGTTCTGAGTATTCAGTGAATTAAGTGCACAAGCCTCACACTCAATGTAATTTTTAAATGTTGTTTCTCAACAATGGTCAATTCTAACTTTTCAGTGTAGGAATTTTTCCTCTAATCTTAAAATTCTCAATCTTGGGGTCTCAAAGAGGGAACTTGGATTTGGAGTAAAACAATAAATAAATCCTTAAATCTTGCTTATTCTCTCAGGGCCAGAGTCTGGATCAGCACAGAACAAGGTGCTGAGAGGAGCTGGGGCTTCGTGCTGGGTCTGCTCTTCCTTGCGCTGGGGCTGCTCATCTACTCAGGAATCAGAACTGTGCGATGCCTCCTGCAGGATGAAACTCTCCACATGCTTTTCTGGGAGATGAAACTGTTTCCCTCAGGATAGAGCTCAGTTTATTGGTGACTCTGAGAAACCTTTCTTTCCTCAGCCTACCTCAAGTTTTCTGAGCATTCAGAAATCAGTTGTTTATGGGTCCTTTGCAGGAACCCAGTGACTATGCCGATATAGGCCAGAGAAAGGTTAAGGAGCTCTGAAGTATGGAGTGGACAGCAGTAGGTAAAGAAGGAGGAGCCACAAACTCAGTTGTTAACGAAGCAGGTTTCTCCTCAGTGCCACTCTCTGTGCTCCCTTCTGCACCCCAGGGTGTGCCAGGGGCTGTGCTGTCAGAGAAATCTCAGGGGGCAGATCTCTCACAGGGCTCCCTGGGTTGGGGAAGAGATTTTCCTCCAGGTCTTGCATGTCTCTGTTTCTCCTGTCTTTTCCAGGTCATGCTGGAGTCAACCAACAGATAATATCCTTGAATCTTCTTTCCCAGACAGACTCCCTCTCCCTATGAGGGATGGTAGGGTGAAGAAACATGAATCTGAGACAATGTGAAGAATACCTGGGGCAGATTTGTGAGCAGGCAGTTTACACTAAAGTTTCCTCACTTTGCTTAATAAAACCCTGAACTCTGAGGTAACATAAGCTCAAGGCGACGAGAATACTTTTCTGTGCCCACTGCAGTGCTATCCTGAGAGGAGAGGAGCTGAATTTTGAGTGAGGTGTGAAAACACTGCTGTCCTCTGTCCCTGCAGGACTCCTGAGCTAAAGAGACGGGGACAGCACTGAAGGAAGGGCCTGTGTCCCTATTTCTCTAGGCCTTCTTCACGTCCTGACAGGCTTCTTGCTTGGTTCTCATTCTCCCACAGACAAAGGCTCTCCTGTGCCCAGGATCACACAGAAAGTGTCCTCCCTGATGGCTTCCTCAGCCAGGGACCTATGTAGAAGCCCAGACTGCAGGGCCCTCCCTCCATTCCCTCCTGACCTCTCTGTGCCCAGCACTCACCTCCTCAGTGCTTCTGCTCTCATCTTGTGCAAATTTGTCGTGTTATATTTTTTATCAAATTAACATAGAATGAAAAATCATCTGCTTTTTCCAGTTTTGAAGATACAAAAATAGAAAAGACAACAAGAGAATAAGTGCTTAACACACCAGTGGTGTTCGTTTAGATACAGTGTGTGAGGAGATGCAAATGTGAAATAGGGTTGACTGGCAGTTCCCAAAGCCTAGGAATAGGAGATCCTGCTGTAAAACATAAACACATTCAATTTTCACACTTGCACTTAGCCAAAAGGTTGAGGAGCTATGATATACAGTGTTTGCTTTTCATCTAAAATGTATTTAAATAGTACATTTATTTTAACCATCTATATCTATTGTACCTTTTGGATCTTATCTACTCTTCAGTTTCTTACAGTAGGGAGACAGTTTAGGTTTGGCCCTGCCTTTCTGTCTTCTCTAAAGTCTCTCAAGATTCCTCATATCTGAGGTTACATATTTGATCTGAGTCTTTTTTCCTAAAGAGAGCATTGATGGCAATGAACTTTTCTCCTAGGAGTGCTGTCACTGTTCTAGAAGTTCCGGTAGGCAGGTACTGTTATTCACTTACAGAAATTTTTAAATTTGTTCCTGGGTTTCTTCTTTAAAGCATTGCTTACTGAGGAACCTGTTGTTCATTTTTAGATGCTTCTGCCTTTTATGGGATTTCTTCTGCCCTTCATTTGTATTTCATTGCACAGTGGCCTGATAGTATGCATGGGGGAATTTTGATTCTTTTTTTATATTTAAGCAGGCTTTGGACTGTTTTGGAAGAAGTCTTGTGTGCAGAAGAAAAGAATGTAAAATTTGTGGGATTCTCTGTTGATATCTATTGATCATGTGATTTCAAGGTTGTGGATCAGCTCTGACATTTCTTAATACCTTTAGTTTACTTGATCTATCTCTTTGTCAGAATGGGTTGTCTAGATACCCCACTATGACTTTGTTAGTATGTACTTGACATTTTATGTTTAGCAGTATTTGTCAGATGAAGATAGGTGCTCTTGCATTCAGTGCAAACATTTATACATATGCTATTTATTCTTATTGGTTTATAAACATAAGTAATATGTAGTGACCATATTTATCTTTCCAAATCATTTTTAGCTTGAAGTTTACCATGTCTGAGATAAAAATTGCTACCTCTAATTGTTTTTAGATTCCTCCCCCACAAAATACTGTTTTCATCCTTTCATTTTTAGTCTACATATGTCTTTCAGAGTTGGGTGAGTTTCTTGATCCAATTTGCCAACATAGGACTAAACTATGCAATGGAAGTCATTAACATTGCGAGCTATTACTCAGGTTTGTAAGCTATTTTCTGTGAGTGCCTGCTTCTTCTGTTGTTTTCCTTTGGCTGTCATTTGTGTGTGTGTGTGTGTGTGTGTGTGTGTGTGTGTGTGTAAGAGAGAGAGAGAGAGAGAGAGAGAGAGAGAGAGAGAGAGAGAGCCAAGTGAACTCTAAAGTGATTATTACATTTTAAGAAGAGTGCAATGTACTCAGAAGTCATGTTAGTGATTATTAAAGAGAAGTGAAATTTTATCAATTGCATCGGCGTGTGATGAAAATAATAAGGGTTATTTATGAGGGTATTAATTGCTGCACAGCATTTGCTTCAAGAAGCAGAATTATTATAGCAAACTTCTTGGAGTTCTTTTCAGGTCAGAAGTTTGTCTCTGACTGTGGTTCAGACATATTGATGTATTAAATTCCTGTACAAAGAAACAGTCAAGATCCTCCATCCACTTAGATGGGAGCTCCTGCACGTGTGCATTCTGGCATTGGTGCTATAGTCAGTGGAAGAAGCATCAGGAAACAAACTTGTAAATCCTTGGTATTGACTGGAACTACTTTACCATCATTCAGTTACCACTATTGTGTCAGAACTGTCCCTCTGATCAATGCCTTTATTTCCATCATGTCATCAGTTACCAGTGGATGAGCCTGCTGAGCTGCCCACAGAATCAGGCTTTCAATTACACAAATAATCTGAAAGATCACAGGACTTTCTTTGCAGCTTTGAATAGAAAATACTTTCCCAAAGTCAGTAACACTGAGTTATGGTGCAGTGAGCATCGCGCTGAGGTCTCCTGCTTTCCATCTTCTGCTGGAGCAGCTTGGTCTTCAAATGATGGATGAACGCTTCCACACAGTTCAGACTTGTGGATCCACCACTGTCCAGTACAGAGCAAGGTAATCATGCTGTTCCAGTTAATATTTTGCAGAGATAACCACAACAAACCTTTAAAATCTTTAAAAAAAGGGAACTCTACTTCTCAGGAGAGCACCTGTATCTTAAATGTCTGACCAGCAACTGATGATGCAGGTCATCTCTGATGTGGATTGGACCTTTCACACTGGGACTCCCCAATCCAACATCAAAGAAAAAAAGAGTTTCATGCTGTTATAATTTGGGTAGACAAGATGCACTGAGTGAGGCTTCTCTGCTTCAATCTGACCCAGTTCTGCCTTGCTCTCCAGAATGCTGTGTCCTTGGCTCCCTGGAGGCTTCTGCGTGGCATCTCTGACAGTAACACTGCTAGTGCTGAGTCCTCCTCTGGCTTTGTCCAGGGACACACGACGTGAGTGTACACCTTAGCTGGGGAGCTACAGTAGGTGGGAGTAAAAATGATGCTGACTTTTCTTACTTTGTTCAGTCAAGTTCATAAAATTTGTGACAATTTCTTGGATGAGTTTGTATCTTTATTATATGGATTCTTTGCAACCAGAGGGAGTCTGTATGTGTGTGTGTTCTTCATAGGACATCTGTGTAAATATATTCTATACAGAAAAATTTCTTTTTAAGTCCACTCTAGCAAAATATTCAACCTCAAATCACATTCTCCCAGGGCCTTGAGGGAACTTAGAATAACAATGTTAGCTAATTTCTATATATAGTAGGTTCCTATAGTATTTTGTTTTATGTCAAGAAAAGGGAAATTTTCTTCCTTTTAAGGTTCTTCACACATAATCTTATATATGTAGATCTATTCTTTTTTTTATATGTAACTTTGCTCTCTTTTAAGTCACAAATTGTCAAGTACCGAACTTGTGGAAATATTTCTGAACAATTTGGAATGCATTCTAAATTGGGATGGTTTTTCCTGTAGATCCCATGTCTCAGCTCACCAGGGTCTGAAGTGATGCTCCTGTATGCTGGGGGGGGGGGGTTGTTTATCCAGAGCTGTCCTCTGTCAGCTTCTTCCCTGCTCTCTCAACTCCAGTGGTCGAATCTCTGTCTCTGAGTGGAAGCTGTGATCTGGGCTGGGGTCAGTGATCTCTCGTTCTCCTGTACTGAGCCCCCGCAGGGAACAGAGGTCTCTGTACTTGAAACTATGCTGTCGACAGTGAGCATCTGTGGGGTGTTCTATGATACCTCATGCACAGGTCTGGAATCCTGTCATAGGTTCATGTTCTTTTATTAATCTGTTTTGAACTTTTCAATACTATCAGTTTCCCCTCACATTCTACAGCTTCTGGTTTGAACTCACAAATGGTTTTAACTAATTTGAAAAAAAAAATATGACAACCTACCTTTAAATAATGAGTAACCAAACCACAGATGATATTTTGTGCTTCAAAGTAAACATCTCTGCAGGAGTATAAAGACAGTAGGAAGGCTAATACCACCTCACAGGGATTAAAATCAATAAGCACGGAGAGGAAACTTACTGGCCTAAGAAAAAACAAATTTCTTAGTTTTTTGGCACTGTATTCTCTCTTTTTCTTACTGAGCCACAGTGAGTTCCCTCTGCCTCCACATTCTTTCTACCTTTTCACTAGCAATGCTAGTGAAAGTCTTTTAAATTTGCACGAATCTTTATCTCTTTAGGAGATCAATTTAGGGATGACAAAATTTAAGAGAAACTTATGTCACAACTTAAAGATTATTATCATACTTTAGATGTAGAATGTTCTCCAAACATTCTTCTTTTAAAGGTAGGGGCTTCAGCTTGGTAGAAACTCGCAGCTGTGGGCACCTGGGAGGTTTTGGGTTGTGGAAGGGGAGCCTCCAAAGAGATTGCGGGATGCCAGTGTCTTCTCTTTCTTTCCTGCCCCAGTCTTGAGATGAACATTTGTTTTCAGCATGTCCCTGCCATGTTACACCACTCCACAGGCACAATAGCAGTGGGTCTGCCTTGCACAGACTGAAACATCCCTACTGTGAGCCAGAACAAACCTTTCTTCTTTGTTCGTTGGCTTTCTAGGATTTTTTTTTACAGTGACAGAATTGGCACAAATATTTTTCTGTAATTCAAATTCTTGCAATGATTCTATATTTTTTACTTTTGCTAATGTCAAATACTAATCTATAGTAGGCTACACTATTTTAAAATCTCTTTTTTGCCTTTTCTCAGTATAATTAATTGTAAAATCAAAATCACTAGAATATATGTACATATATAAGTACACATACATATGTACACAGATACATCCACATATATGACTTGTAAGGTACAATGTTTAAATTTTTAAAATATTATTTTCAAAAACACATTGCCTTTGAATTCCCTGCAAAATTTTCCCACTTGCTTCAAACATACTCTTCCTACTGTTCTGAACAGTTCGTTCGGGAAGATTGGTTTTGTTTTGTTTTGTTTGATGGTTTGTTGATGTTTGTCTTCAGTTGCACTGTCCTGACTCCTGAATCAATACAAGCATTCCCCTTTACTGTCACTTTGATTTGGGGAAACACACAGAAGTCGCATGATTCCAGATCTACTGAGGTGGAAAAGCTGAGTGAGGACAGGTCACAACTTCGTTATGACCTCAGCTTTCTGTCTAGTGGCGGGTGGCACTCAGCAGCAGCATTCACTGTATCTTTAGAAATCACCTCTGCTTTAATAGTAAAAGAAACCTCCAGATCTGCTTCAGAATATGGGAAGCATTGTTTTTTAGTTGATTTTATTGTATGTTTTAGATACACATAATAATCACATTCATCATAGGAAATTAGTATCAGTGCATGATAGATCTTTTTTTCCTCATTCCACTCCCCTCCTCCCAAGCCCTCTCCCCCTTTATTTCCATTTTTTCCTTCTATTCTTTTGTTTTCTTTTTCCTTGTTTACTTTCTCCTTCTCCCTGTCTCCTTACCCTTAGTATATGGCACATGCACGTTTAAATATTCTGTTGTTTCTACAGTATGAGCAACTAAAAATATCAATAAGGATCAAAATGTATACTAAATGGTAAAAAATTTTAAAAATTTGAACATTAACCATGTCAATCACAACTTCCGGGTATGTAATACACATACATATATATTGTTTTATATTTTGAAACTAAGGAAACACACATGACCCATAAACTTTCTAAGATACACCTTCACTCCATCAGTCATTTAAAATCAAATTGTCATCCCATTTTTCAAAAGATGCGGCTTTCTGAATTGAGGAATTTTGATATGAGACTGTGGATTTATTTTAATCCCCTTCACTGTGCTCAGCAGCCTCCCATTCCTTAAAATCTAAAATCCTGGCATCAGCTACAAGGCTGGTTCCCTATGACACATGCCCTAATCTTCACCCCTCATCTCCACTCTGTCCCCTCACTCTGTGTGTCCATCCCTGTTGTCCACTGAGCTTGTGTACATGGCCACCACCTTTACCTTCCCCACAGCACAGGCCTGGCCACACTGGTCCTCCAGCTCCCTGGAACTGACCCTTCCCTGCCCATTCCACAGTCCCCTCAGAGCCCCTCCCTGCTGTAACTGAGGTCCTCCTGCTCTTCCCTGGAAAAGAGGTCACACTTCTCCCAACCCTGCAAGGTCCCCCTGTCCCTCCTGCTCCCCTCAGCAGCGTAAACTCCTAGCTGTCTGATTTTCTGCCTTTGGGTTTGCAGGAGCAGCACAGACCTGGCAGGGTCAGCAGGAAGGAGCCTGTGCAGCCTGGACTAAAGGGCCCCAAGCAGGGCAGGGAGAAGCTCTCAGGGCTGAGGGAGAGGGCAGAGAGTGTCCTGGGAGGAGCCTTGGAGCAGCATGGGGTGGGGCTGGGGCTGACAGGGAATCTCAGTCTACGATCTGAGCCTGCTGGGCCAGCAGGAGGACAGTTCTGGGAATCTTGTGAAGGAGGAGCATGCTCATGCCTTGTGGGTTCCCCTTCCCAGGAAGACTTGAAGGGTGAAACCAGGGCGCTGGTGTTTGCCTGTCTGGTAGTGGCCTCTCAGGAGGAGCCCTGACCCATTCTCTCCTTCCCACAGCGCGTTTTTTGGAGTATATTAAATGGGAGTGTCAGTTCTCCAATGGGACCCAGAAGGTGCGGCTCCTGATTAGCTGGATCTCCAAACAGGAGGAGAATGTGCGGTTTGATAGTGACGTGGGAGAGCACCGCGCGGTGAATGAGCTGGGGCGGCCAGACGCCGAGCTCTGGAACAGCCAGAAGGACGTCCTGGAGCAGAGGCGCGCCTCGGTGGACACAGTGTGCAGACACAACTACCAGGTTGGAGAGAAGTTCACAGTGCTGCGCAGAGGTGAATGTGCATCCTGGGGGTCGGGAGAGGGAAGCAGGGAGGGAGAATTAGGGAGAGGAAGGGGGAGAGATGGAGAGAGAGCAAGGAAAAAAGGGAAAGTGAGAGGGGGAGGGGAGACAGGGATGTGGGGGGAGGAAGGGAGGGACAGGGTGAGAGAGTGAGAGAGACCTGAGAGACGGGAGGGGGTGAGGGGGGAGGAAGAGGTGAGGGACGGGGAGAGGGAGACAGGAGAGCCTCTGTCCTGAGTGTGTAGAACTGTGAGCAAACAGAAATTATGAATGTCCCTGTGAGATTCTCTAGTCCATGAAGAAGCATGTGGCTGTGTGTGTGATGTGACAGAGACAGAGAGAAAGAGAGACAGACAGACCGACAGACAGACAGACAGAGAGCTCATACAAAAGGTCCTAGCCCTGTGCTCCTGAGGCTGACTATAAACATAGCAGGCTGAGCTGTGGGCACTGGAGGGGCTGGGGGAGGGTTCCTAGGGGAGAGGAGCTGTGCTCTGATGCTGGTGAAGGGGGCGGGGGTGGGATGAAGGCTGAGACTCAGAGCAGGCACAGACAGTGTGGGCCCCTCTGTGGTGGGGAGCAGGGAGCACAGGGGTGTCAGCAGCTGGGGTGCTGTGAGGAGGCTGCTCACACCCTGCCCTTGACTTGCTGCCTTCTCTTTGGTGAAGCCCAGGAAGCACAAGTGACCTGAGTGTGCCAGAATTTCAGAGGCAGGGGTGTCAGGTTAGTGTGGAGGGAGGAGGGACCAGGCCCCTGGACCTTTTCCAAGGCTTCTCCTGGGTCTCAGTTTCCTGCTGTTTTTGTTTTGTTTCTTTCTTGCCTGGTGTACAGACCTTTACACTGTGAAGAGGTGGTGATCCTGGCTTTTGATCGGAGTTGTGTTACTTAACATACTGTGTTACTATTTTTATAAACTAATAACACTGAGGTGGTTGTGCATAATTTCTTTCTGTGATTGTAAACATACCTGTGATTTCATTTGGTGAGAACTTTTTCTTTAAATACTGACAAATTCAGTCCTCCCTTAGTGTTGTGTGTGGAGGTTGTTTCATTGAATATAGAAATCTGAAGTGTTCCAGTGTGCTACATAAAACCATACAATATTTGCATGTAACTTAGATTTATCCTCCTTGGTATTTCACATGGTGTCTGAACTGCTTGTAACACCCACCACTGTGTAAACACTACGTACAAAGTTGTACTTTTTAGGGGAAATGACAAGAAAAAGTGATTACATTCCTTGCATCACATAGATTTCGTTAGGTTAGACCTACACACAAGGATGAATTCTCCAGTGGAGAACCATCAGTTACAGAGATCCACTGTACTCTAAAGTATTACACTTTTAACTTTAATTTTTTATTTATAAGGTGTGTAAACATCTTCACATACCTTTTAGCAAGTGCCATCACTCTAAACACTACCTACTTCTTTTCTGGGTTCTGCTGCTTTCTAAGTGACTATGTGGTGTTTTAGGCAGAAATATTCTTACCGCCGTCCTGCTTGTACGCAGCCTCTGCTCCATTTTCTGGTTTATGTCGCATTGCAGTGTAATACTGCTCATTCTAATAACATCAATTTTTTATTTCATAAAATACAATGCACCATTGTTGGTAATGGTTTACCTACACTCTTCTACCTGTCATTTACTGGTGATGTGAAAATCTTTCTTTTTGGAACAATGTGTTTAGCGAGGTTGATGTGAGGTGATTGTACCAGACATGAGACACACATGTTAATGAGTCCCACACGCTGCCATGACCACAAAGGTGAGTTCAGACACTAAGACAGGTACAGCCTGGTAACAGTAAGCAGGTGTGTTTGGTAAAGCAGAGGCATCCCTCAGATACATACAAAGATGGGCTCTTTCTAAAGGATTGATTTCCCTTACTGCTTTCTCTCTGCTTAGGATTCCTGAGTTACCTGTGACTCAGCTCCCAGCCTTAGAGAGTCACATCTCTCGGTCCCTGCTTCCCAGTGTGCAGCCCTTTCTGGCCCTGAAGTGTGGCTGTGTGGAGAGAGCACTCCCAGCATTCCATGCTCTATTCCCTTCCTACCCCACCGCTCCTCCCCGGTTTTCCTTGGGTTGTGATTCTGATTCTCACATAGGAAACAGGAGAGTAATAAACAGGGAAAATACACTGATGGCTAAAGTCTAGTCCACAAGTCATGTATTTTAGTTGATTTAATCCTAATATAACACTAAGTGGTGAATCTGTATCCTTATCTCATTAGAGGTGAGAAAGTCAAGGCACAAAGAAATGTAAACATCTCTCAGGATTAGTCAGGGAGAAAAGGAGCTCGAATTTGAACTCAGGAAGTCTGGTTCCTGACTTCCTGAGTTCCTGAAATCACACTTTTAATTAAGATTTCTTTGCTTTGCAAAGACAACTAAGCACCTTATTCATTAACAAATGATCAGGTCAAACTAGAAAAAAATGCATTTTTTCCCCAAACCTCTTGTGCCCTTGCTGTGAAGATTGAATTTCAGGTTCCTGACAGGCTCCTGAGAGCCCCAGGTAGGTGTGAGGAGCCTATGAGAACCTGGGTCTGTTGCTGGAGAGATACAGAGATGCAGTCAACCAAGAACTTCTCTGCCTTACTGACTCATTCTCACCAATGTTATTCCTCTAGTTGAGCCCAAGGTGACCGTGTACCCCACAAGGACCCAGCCCTTGCAGCACCACAACCTTCTGGTCTGCTCTGTGAGTGGCTTCTACCCAGGACACATTGAAGTCAGATGGTTCCGGAATGGGCAGGAGCAGGAGGCCGGGGTGGTGTCCACAGACCTGATCCAGAATGGAGACTGGACCTTCCAGACCCTGGTCATGCTGGAAACTGTTCCTCAGAGTGGAGAGGTTTATGCCTGCCAGGTGGAGCATGTGAGCTGGAGCAGCCCTGTCACTGTGGAATGGAGTGAGTGGGGACCCCTGACCTCATCAGTTCCCTCCCACCCACAAGGGGTCTCCCCTTATCCCTGAGTGTCAGGGTTTCCTGTCGCTTCATTTGCTCCCATTTCTCATCTACTTTAGACCACTCATAGTGGGGAGGTCTAAAGAGTTTCTACAAACCCTTAAACACCTTGAACAAACAATGGTGCCTGTCATACCAAAGACAAGTGTCTGGCTCCCTTTGAGCCTTCTCACCTTATAACTGAGGGTAATCACGCCTTGGTCCTATGTCCACACCCTGCTTCTGGCTGGGCTTGTGTCTCTGATGTTGAGCTCTGCACTGTTAATTATGATCTGTGAGGAGGAGCACTGCACAGTTTCCCTGAAGGACAGGAGTTCACCCTCTGCTCTGCCGTTCATCAACTCTATCATTCTAGATGGCGCCTCAGCTGTGCTGAGCTCCAGACACTGCACAAATAGTTTTATATTTGTGGTTTAATTGAACTACATGCATGAGCCTAACACCTACCCAATATAATTTTTAAATGCTTTTTCCCAACAGTGGCCAATTCCAGCATTTGATTGTGAGATCTTTCCTCTAATCTTCAATCTCTGAATCTTAGGGTCCTAAAGAGGGAACTTTATTCTGGGAAAACGTGGAAACTTCCCTAACCTGACTTTTTGTCTCAGGGCCAGAGTCTGGATCTGCCCAGAGCAAGATGCTGAGTGGAGTTGGCAGCTTTGTGCTGGGTCTGCTCTTTCTTGGGTCAGGTCTGTTCATCTACTCCAGGAATCAGTAAAGGTAAGATGCCTATTGGTGTCTGTAAGGCATCTTACCTGTGATGCACGGCAGGCGGCAGAGACCAGAGACAAAATGGCATGGATTTACTGTGCCTTGGTGCAGACATGAGGCCTTCTGTAGGGATCAATGAGAATTGAGCCCCTTTTCTAGGGATTCAAAGAGTGCAAGGAACATCAGGTGAAAAGATGTTAAGGAACATCTGTGGTCAGAGTTCTCTGACAGTCTTGCACCTGAGCAGGCAAAGTCCTGTCTTATCTCTATGATGTCCTGTGTTTGCAGACTTGTTTTCACACAGAGCAAAGCCTCTGCTGCAAACAGGTTTAGGGATTTACAAGTCAGGAGTCAGGTCCAGTTTATCCTTTACAGTGGCTAAGACTCTCCACATCCTTTTTTCAGGGGAAAAGCATTGTTTTCCTGTGGTAGTGCTTGGAATTTTGCTGTCCTTATGTGAAGCCTTTTTTCAGTCGAGTTACCTCAAATTTCCTGGGAATTCAGAAATAGACTGTTTAATGGATTCTTTTTGAAACCTGGGTCTAACCCTGCAGACTCAAGGAGCAGGTTGAGCAGCCTAGAAACGCTGGGTGGAGAGCTGTGGATAAAGAAGAAAGAGCATTGCTCAGGGGATTTATGAGGCAGGTGATTCCTCTGTCACAGGCTCTCAGCTTGTGCTCCTTTGTCTGCCCTGCCTGCCAAGGTTTTGGTGACAGGGGAACTTCAGGTGGCAGATCTGCCACTGGAGACATTGTGTTTGGGGACAGATTTGCCTTCCTGTCTTTAAAGTATCTTCTCTCTTTTCCAGAGCTCTCTGGAGTTCAACCAACAGGTAACATCCTAGAATATTTTCCCATAGACAGATTTGCTCTCTGTATAAGAGATTGTAAATGAGATGAGACATGAAATGCAGATGATATGAAAGATTTTGAATGCAAATTTTGATCTGCACTAAACTTTCTTTGGTGCACTTAACAGAACCCTGAGCTCTGATGTAGCATTGGTTGAGGGAGACCTGGGGAATTTTCCTTTGCTTGCTGCAGGGCTATACTGAGAGGGGAGAGGAGCTGCATTCAGAGTGAGATCTGGAAACACTGCTGTCCTCTGTGTCTGCAGGACTCCTGAGCTAAAGAGATGGTGAGAGCACTGAAGGAAGGGCCTGTGTCCCTGCTCTCCAAGACTTCTCCACATTGTGTCCGGCTTCCTGCTTGGCTCGTTCTCTCACAGAGAGAAGCTCTCCTGGTGCCCAGGACCACAGAGAACGTATCCTCCCTGATGGCTTCCTCTGCCCCTGGGCCCCACCTGGAGGCCCACACTGCAGGGCCTTCCCTCCATTCCCTCCTTGCCCTTATGTGCTCAGCATTCACCTGCTCAGTGCTTCTACACATCCCCTTGTGCAACGCTGCTTTATTACATTTTTCTCAAATAAACAGGGAGTGGAAAATCACCTGCTTCTTACAATTCTGAGGTAAAAAACTAGAAGTGAACAGGAGGATGACATCACAGCGTACCGCTGGTTCCCATTTGTGTGTGAGAGGATGCATATGGTAAACAGGTTGTGTTAGCCAGGTTGCAGGGTCTAGAGATTAAAGCATCATATTCTGTGAAATAAACATATGCAACTTTCTCTTCTAATTTATGTATCTCACCAAAATAGTAATGAGTTTTTTTTTACTGTAAAACAAAACAAAACAAAACAAAAAAAGCATAAAAAGGATGATACAGAATTTGGAAACAACATAATGGGAGATTAAAATGGTTAGTATAATGCATATTGTTATTTTGAAAGTCATTGCTGAGCTTACAATACGTAGGCATAAGAAATGATCAAACTATGATAACATATATATATATGTGTGTGTGTGTGTGTGTGAGTGTGAAATCTTTTCCCTTTTTGTTTTCTCATTTGCCTGAACCCAATTCTTTCTTTTTTTCCCGTTTTACTTTTACAGTATCTATTACACAATTTTAATATTACTCGTTCAGCTTGTTCACTAAGGAGACAATATGATTTTTACCAGTGAGTCTGATTTACTTCACTTATTGGTATGGTCTCAAGTTGCATCCATTTACCTATAAAAATCTAAAGTTTGTCCTTCTTTATAGCTGAGTGGTACCCCATTGTATAAAAATACCACATCTGTTTTATGCAAGCTGCGGTTAGTGGTCATTTGGGTTGTTTCCAAGGTTTAACTACTACAAATTCCGCTGTTATAAACATAAGTGCACCTACAGTGCTGTGCTATGATGTTTTCAATTCTTCTGGGAGAATCCCCGGAAAGGGCGTAGTTGGGTGGAATGGGACTTCCAATGCTAGTTTGTGAGGAATCTCACACTAATTTCCACAGCCATTGCACCACCAGCACTCTCAGCAACAGTGGAGAAGCATTCCTTTGTCCCCATGGTCCCACCCACATTTGTTATTGATTGATTTCTTGATGACAACCATTCCTTATGCAGTGAGACGGAATCTCAGTGTTGTTTTACTTTGTATTTCTCAAATGACTGGTGACATTAAACATTTTTTCAAGTATTTACTTGCCATTTGTGTTTCATGTGAGAAGTATGTTTTCATGTCAGATGCCCATTTTTGGACTGGGTCTCAGAATTTGGGGACCCTGATTGTTTAGTCCTTTGTCTAAGAGATAGTTGGCTAATTTCCCCCATTTTATGGGTTGTCTTTTCATTCTATTGATGATTTCTTAATTTAAAATATTTTAAAATTATATTGAAATTTAAAACCCCATGGTTAGAAATGTAAAATAGACATGTTAAGTGAAACAAAATTGATCACAATAATATCACAGGAAATGAGCTGGAAAAATTGATCACAATAATATCACAGGAAATGAGCTGGAAAAATAAGCCAACTTTCTTGAAACATTGTTTTTTTTTTTTTTTTTGTCTTTTTCCTTTTTATCGGTATCAGGGATCGAACTCATGACTGCCTGCTTGCAAGGCAGGCACTTATGCCGATGAGCTAAATCCCCAGCCCCTGAAACATTGTATATTACTGCAAATTATAGATCTCTGCTGCTGGATGCCATTGTACGCTGGTGCAGAGTAGCTGGATGATTCTCAAGGACAGCACACACATTGTCTGAGATGATGAAGACCTCTCCTCTCCTGTTCTGTTCAAACCAAATTACTGTTAAATGTAAATCAAAATGTAAATGATTCTGAAGTTTCAGAGTTAAGAATAACAAGCATTTGAAAACAGATTTTTTGCTCTCCTCTACACTTCCTGTTTTTAAGTAACTAGACTGTGCATTATTTTGACTCTTTTCAATTACCTCAGTAGTTCTTTGTGCAAAGCTGATTTTTCCTGTGTGAACTTCATGGCCTATAGTGAGGTCCATTCTGATTCAATCTGTGTACACTGTGACTCTGTTTCCCTGAGGAAGAAATGATTTATGCCAAGTTATGTAAGAATGGTATTATGAACCTCTAAGGTAGGATTCAAACACATAACCAAAAGTTCAGTCAAGATGCTTTATATTCCACATAGCTGGAAATACAGGCTCAATGTTTCATTTTTCCTTAACTTCCTGTGGTGGGGAAAAGTAAGATTCAAATCTGTGTCTGCAGTGGTGCTGGCTTCAGAAGATGGGGGGCCTCTGTAATGACTGTGTAATTTCATCCCTCCTCCCTTGTCATCCACAGCCTGTCCTGGGTCCTTAGATGGCAAAAGAACAAATTTGGCAATACAGAAAGTCTTTCTTCCTGGGTGCTTCTGTAAATAGCATCTAAATTCTGCCAGAGTTCCCCACTCAAGCCACTTCCTCATTCCTAGCAAGGGGCAGGGGATTTTGGCGACAGCTCTGAGGAACCTTTCTTCAGACCTTGGAGACTGAGCCTGATGCTGGGGGAACAAAAGAGGCCATGCCTTCTCTATTTGGAAGAAAGAAATGACTAAAACTTAATGATTCAGGAAGAAGAAAATGATGGTTTCTGATATCATTATGTTTATCAACAGTGTTTTTAGTTTATTTCCGCAGCAGGCTTCTAGATTATTGGTAAAGATTGTGAATGACTTTGTGTGTATTTAAAAAAATATACTGAGTATTAAGTGTGTACCATTAACTCAAATATAGTGAACAAAAACCCAAAATAATATTTGTTTTTGAAAATAAGTATACTAGCATATAACTTTGCAAATTATATTTGCCAAGTAAAGTTTTAAAACAAACATCATAATGAAAATATAACATCATAACGTGATATAACACAGAGTACATCTACTTAATAGATACATTTTGCTATTCTTTCATAGTTGAATAAATACATAAGTATAACTGTGGGAAGAACTAAAACTGAAACTTTTCAGAAGCGCTTTTGATACAAGGAGAGTTTCACATAGTAGAGTTGATCCAACATATTTCATTTCAACAGACTTTTCTTTGATTAATAAAATAGAAACAGTAGAGTATGAAATTAATAAAAAGTATTTATATTACTATTATTAAATATGTTTGAGGATAGAAATTCATGTAAACCTTGATGAGGTTTCAGATGAGACTGTATATTAGAAGTATTTTGGAAAATATCAATTTATTAAAATATTAAACATTTCCTGTGCTTCTCAGAAATTCCATACTGTAGAATCATCCATGAGAAATGAAAGACAGACCAAATAAAACAAAGACATTTATCACTGCAAAGATAAGGACACAATTCACAACAGTCAAGTTATAGAATCACCCTATGTGTCCACCAATGGGTGAATGGGAGAAGAAATTGTGTTACTAAGACAATGGAGCATTATTCAGTGAAAAAGAAGGATAAAATCATTTTCAGGAAAATATGTGGGACTAGAAACTATCACATTAAGAAAAAATCAGCTAGACTCACAATATCAGATATTGCATGTTTTCCATAATGTGTGGAATCTCAGAGATACAGCAGAAATAACAAGAAAGTAGGAGGGAGACTATGAAACCATGGGAAGGGGATCACAGGAGGGAGCTAGAGGGATGAAAGGTTAACATGGAGAAGGATGTGATCAAAGCATGGTACACACATGCATGCAAATCCTGCACTGAAACTCGATGTTCAAAATCATACACACACACACACACACACACACACACACACACACAAACATACACTCAGTGTTCTAACTTTCAGAGCAGAAATGGTCACAATAGCCAAAAAACCTAAAGCACTCCAAATATCCACCCGCCGGTCAACACCGTGCGCTACTGTGGAGGAATCCAGACTCCATCTTGCCTCTTGGCCTCTGTTTAGTTTGCAGTTCTCCTCTAGGTGAACTCGTCCCTAATTCCTGACAATCTCCCCCACCCCAGTAGCCATAAACCATAAAAAGAGGAGCAAACTGTTTTATTACACACTGATCAAGATGATTCCTGCCCCCATCCCGGTTGACTAAAGACCCAGATGTTCAGTAAGACCCTAGAACACGTCAGGGATACCTCAAGCACAGTGACAGAGTTGTTGTGGTGACTAAGAAATTTAAAAATTCCAAGTAAAATGACAAGGTTTCCATGGTTACTGGTAAGTTATAATATACTGAAAAGAGAAATTGAAAAGGATCTCAGAAAACGGAAAGCCATCCCTTGCTCCTGTATAGGAAGAATAAATATTGTGAAACTGGCCATTCTCCCAAAACTCTTATACAGATTCAATGCAATCCCAACGAAAATACCATCAACATACCTCAAAGATCTTGAGAAATCACTCCTAAAATCATCTAGAGTGAGAAGAGACACAGAATAGCAAACAGTTCTAAGCAACAAAGACAAGTCAGGAGGCATCACAATTCCTGAGTTGAAGTTATACTACAAAGCAACTGTAGTAAAATCAACATGGTACTGGAATAAGAACAGAGCTGAAGAACAATCGAGTAGGTTAGAAGATACAACCACAGCTACAAACACACTCAACCACCTTATCTTTTTTTTTTTTAACCACCTTATCTTTGATAAAGGGGCCAAACAGGTTCACTGGAAGAACGACAGCATCTTTAATAAATGGTGTTGGAAAACCTGGTTCTCCATATGCCAAAAAATAAAATTAGACCCATGCCTATCACCATATACTAAATTAAAATCTAAATGGATCAAAGATCTGAATATTAAAACAGAAACACTAAATCTATTGCAAAACAAATTGGGTAAAAACCTTGAAGACATAGGGGTAGGTAGACAATTCATGAACAGGAATTAAACTACACAGGAAATACTTCCCAGAAGCAAAAACTGGGATTGCCTCTTATTAAAAAGTTTCTGCACATGAAAAGAAATCTCCAGCATAGTGAAAAGAAAACTCACAGACTGGGAAAAAATCTTAGTTAATTGTTCTTCAGACAAAGGACTTCTGTCTAGAACATATAAAGAATTAAAAGAAATCAAACCTCCAAAATTCAAAGATTCAATCCAAAAATGAGCATCTGAGATGAATACACACTTCTCAGATGGAGAAATACAAATGACAAATAAATACAAGAAAAAATTGTTCATCATCATTACTCATTAGAGAAATGCAAATTAAAACCACACTGAGATTCCATCTCACTCATGAAAGAATGGCCAAAATCAAGAAACCAACAACAACAAATGCTGGAGAGGCTGTGGGGAAAAAGGAACTCTCCTGCACTGTTGGTGAGAGTGTAGACTGGTGCAGCCATTGTGGAGGTCAGTCTGGAGATTTCTCAAAAAGCTGGGATTGGAAGTCCCATTTGTTCCAACTATACCACTTCTAGGCATATTCCCAGAAGAACTGAAAGCATCATACCAAAGTGATATATTTGTACCCACGTTTATAGCAGCACAATTTGTAATAGCCAGATCTTAGAAACAACCCCTGTGTCCATCAACTGAAGAATGGATAAAAAAGATGTGGTATTTTTTTACAATGGAGTATTACTGAGCTATAAAGAAGGATCACATTGAGATATTTATAAATAAATGGGCACAGCTTGAGACTGTACTCATAAGTGAAATAATGAAACTCACATGTATGAATACCGAATAGTTTCCCTAGTGTAAGAAATGATATAAATACTTAAAAATATGTTGGTAATCATAATTCCCCATTATATGGCTTTGAAGCCTTATAAAGTTTTCACTCGTTAAATGGGATGGTTTTATTGTGGGCTGTTTGATATTGTCTGTGATGATATGAACAGCTATTTTGAAGAAATCAAGACATCATAATAGCTAGTGCTGATTTAATATCATCTTGTTTTGAAGCCCCATCAAACTGTTGTTTTTCTGTCTCCATTGGTTTTATCATGTTGTATCTTATTGGATTTTATTATATGTGATAGTATAAACAATTTTTTTTTTTTTACAGTACCGGAGATTGAACTCAGGACGTTATGCTTGCCAGGCAGGCGCTTACGCCACTGAGCTAAACCCCGGCCCCATAAACGAAATTTTTATAAGCAAAGAGATAATATATAAAACATTGTTCATTTTCTGTTAGCTGGTTCTAAATATTTTGTAATACTTTCATCCTCTTGAATGGTTTCACACTGTCTTGATATGTTTGATGCTATAGTATACAAAGTTATACTCAAATATTTCAAGGAAAGAGATACTATGGTAACTACTTTTAAGTCCAGTTATCTTGTGGTGAAACACTATGTTGCTTAAATTGTTCTGTTCTGACCTGTATTGTTATGTTATGTCCTCTTTTATCTCAATCTTCCCTTTTTTTATTTATTTATTATTTTTTTAATTAAGGGAAAAATTTTTTAAAAATATTAGCAGGATATATTATAGCAACTTTTTTGATTTCCTATTAACTTGATTTGAAGCCCCGTATTGCTCTCACCATCTTGTTTTGACTGATTTTACTCTATTCTGTTTTGTTTGATAGTATCAAGTTTGAGGGTATAGGCAACAACTGTGAAGACAATAGGATTCACTATGATGCCCATTCTGGTTTGACTATTATCTTCTTTTAAAGTCCTGTAATATCTCCAATGTTTATGTTTTATTGGTTTTTTCCTGTACTGTTTTGTTCAATTTTATTATACCTGATTATATAGGCAGTTCTTTTTAAGGTAGCAAGAGGCATTATGGTAACCATTGTTGATTACCTTGTATTCTGTTTTTACATCGTGTACTGTGTTCATCTTTTGTTGTGACTGACTCTGCTTTGTTCTGTCTCATTTGGTTTTATTCTCTTCCAAAAAAAAAAGTAATAAGAAAAGTGGGAGTAATAAAACCCAAAATGTGTAATTGTTATTGTAAAAAATAGAGGAAAAGAAAGTGCTCTAAAGGATACAACTGCAAGTGTTTTTAGGTGTGTAAGATAGATGACCATATTACTAAGCTTTTGTTGGATCACTGAACACAATTGTTTGCAGTCTCACTGTTTGAATGTCCACTTTGTATGCTTAATTTTGTAACTTGAACAACTATTTCTAAGATGACAATATGTAATCTATTAACTAGTGATTTCTTACTGTTTATTTTTTTGAAATTCTGTACTACTTGTACCCTTTTGCTGTTTTTTTTCTCTTTCTTTAAATAAAAAAAATTCTTTCTCTTGCATGACTTCTCTGGCAATTATTTCAAGGAATACGTTAAAAAGTAGTGATTATAGTGTACATTCTTGTCTTGTTCCTGATTTTAGAGGGAACAATTTTGGATTTTCCCTGTTGAAAATGATCCTGGCAGTAAATTGGTCACAAGTGGCTTTTATTGGATTGAGAGAAGGTCCTTCTATACCCATTTCTTTCAGGGTTTGTTTTATGAATGGCTACTGGTTTATGTCAACTTTTTTTCTAAGATTTCATATTTCAATTAAACAATGAGTTATAATTACTTAACTGTAACAGTCATATTTCAAAAATTACATGATTATAGTAAATTATGAAATTAATATTGTTTTAAATGCTATCCTAGTTCTTGAACTCTTGGTAATTTATTCAGTACTAATGTGTTAAAATTTTCCTTATTTAAAATAAACACAGGATAATAAAAGAAATGTGCTTTCTTTTTGCTTCTGCTTTTGTTTTGAGACAGGGCTTTGCTGTGGATTTCATAGTGGACTTGAACTCATCATTTGGCACAGGTTGGTTTCAAGCTCACAGCAATATTTTGCCTCATCCTCTGAGTGGTGGGATTACAGGCAAGCACCACCATGCCTGTCGGGAGTGCGTGATCATCAGAGATGTAATCATAAGTGGAACCAGGTTTATAATTTAGAATGAAAGCTTGACCCTTGGTATTGACTGGAACTACTTTACTCTCATTCAATTACCATTACTTTGCCAGAAATGTCCCCCTGATCAATGCCTTTATTTCCATCATGTCATCAGTTCCCAGTGGATGCTGCCCCCTGAGGTGCCCACAGAATCAGGCTTTCAATTACACAAATATCTGAAAGATCACAAGACTTTCTTTGCAGCTCTGAGCAGTAAATACTTTCCCAAAGTCAGCAACACTAAATTTTGCTACAGTGAGCGTCATGCTGAGGTCTCCTGCTTTTAGTCTTCTGCTCGAGCCTTCAAATGATGGATGAATGCTGCCACACAGCTCAGACTTGTGGGTCCACCACTGTCCAGCACAGAGCCACTGAGCTGTGCTATTTCAATTCACGTGTTGCAGAGATCACCAGAACAAACCTTTAAAATCCTTATAAAACAAACAAACAAACAAAAACAAAAAACAAAAAAACCTGTGGACTCTACTTTTCAGAAGGGAAGCTCCACTTTTCAGAAGAGTACCTGCATCTTGAATGTCTGGCCAGCAACTGCTGATGCAGATCATCTCTGATGTGGATTGGACCTTTCACACTGGGACTCCCCAACACAGCATCGCAGGAATGAATTCTTTGGTTCTTATCATCTGCGATGTAAGCAGACAGGACACACACTCCTCACCAAATGGGGCTTCTCTGCTTCAGTTTGACCCAGTCCTGCCTTGCTCTCCAGGATGTTGTGTCTGTGGCTCCCTGGAGGCCCGTGCATGGCAGCTCTGACAGTGACACTGATGGTGCTGAGTCCTCCTGTGGCTTTGGCCAGGGACACGCGACGTGAGTGCACACCTTAGCTGGGGAGCTACAGTAGGTGGGAGTCGGAATGATGTTAACTTTCTCACTTTGTCCAGGGCAAGTTCCTTAAAACATATGCCGTTTTCTTGGATGAGTTCCTGTCTTCACCCATGCAAGAAGATTCTCTACATAATGCGTTGCTTTTTAAGTTCTCTCAGGGCCTTGAGGGAATTTAGAATAACAATGTTCAGCTAATTTCTAGATATTAGAATTTAGTATATTGGTTTTTTTTTCAAAAAAAATTGAAGATGTCTTCCCTCTAAGGTTCTTCACATGTAGATCTGGTCTATTCTAGGTATGTAACTTTGTTCTCTTTTTAAGTGAGAAATAGTTAAATTTTCAACTTTTGATATATTTCTGTGAAATTTTTGGTGTATTCTAAATTGGGATGGTTTTTCCCTATAGATCCCGTGTCTCAAGCTCACCAGGGTCTGAGGTGATGCTCCTGTATGCATGGGGATGTACCCAGGGCTGTCCTCTGCCATCTCCTTCCTTGCTCTCTGAACTCTAGTGGTTGGGTCCCTGTCAGGCTGTGATGCAGGTTGAGATCAGTGCTCTCTTTCTCCTGTTCTTAGCCCTCTGCAGGGGAACAGAGGTTCTTTGTCATTGAAATTATGCTGTAGACAGTGAACATTGGTGGGGTGTTCTATGTTATCTCACCCACAGTTCTGGAACTCTGTCATAGGTTTGTGTTAATTTTATTAGTCTGCTTGAAACCTTTCAATACCATTAGTTTCCCCTCACATGCTACAGCCTCTGGTTTGACCCCACAAAATTGTTTGAAAGAGTATGGCAATCTCATTTGAAATATATGGCAATCTACAGTTAAGCAAAAAATAAATTATCATCAAATTTTTGTAATTCACAATACATACAAGCAAGAATATGAGGAAATTATGAAAGCCAATACATCTCATGAGGTTTAAAGCCAACAAAGAAAGGAAACTTATGACCTATTGGGATCTTAATCCAATTTCGTAGCCACAGTGGGTTCCTTCTGCCTCCACATCCTTCCTACTTGTTCACCAGCAATGCTGTTACTGTTACAGAAATTCTTTGAAATTTGCACGAATTTTCAGCTCTTTAAGAGATCCATGAGAGATGATAAAATTTCATAGAATGTTCTCCAAAATTTCCTGTGTTAAAGGTTTGGGCTTCAGTTTTGGTAGGAACTTGAATGTGTGGGGTTCCTGGGAGGTTTTATGTTCTCCAAGGGGAGCCCTCAAAAGGGAATTGTGAGGTTCTAGTGTGTTTTCATTCTTTTGTGCCCCAACCATGAGATGAACATTTTTCTTTACAAGCCCTCTGCCAGGTTATATTGCTCTACAGGAGCAATAGCCAGGAGTCTGCCCAGCCATGGACTGAAATATCCTAACTGTGAGCCAGAATAAATCTTTCTTCTTTATTAGTTGGTTATCTTAAGTATGTTTTTTATCAATGTGAAAAACCAACATAACTGACACAAATACTTTTCTGTAAATGCTTCAACCTTGTAAAGTGATTCTGTATTCTTTACTTTTGCTAATTCCAAATTCTTACATATATTAAATCATGTTTACCTCAGCACTATAAAATCTTTTTGATTTCTTCACAGTGTAATTAAATATAAAGCAAAAAGCACTAAAATGATATATATGTATATATATATGCACACATATGATTTATACAAAAGAAAAATGTTCCAGTTTTTAAAATATTACAGTTAAAGACACATAGCCATTAGTTCCCTTCAGAATATCCTCACTTGCCTTGATCACATTTATCCTGTTCTTCCTGCCCCTTCCTGAAGAGGTCTGGAAGGTATTCTTTTGTGTCTTTGGTTGCACTGTCCTGGTTCTTTAATCAACTCAAAACATTCACCTTTTGTGGTCACTGTGGCTTTGGGGAAGAGAGAGAAGCCACAGGACTGCAGATCTATTGAGAAGAACAAGGTTGGGGGTGAGGAAACAACAGTTTTCATGACCCTGACTTTCTGTCCAGCAGTGGATGGCTCTTGGCATCTGCCTCACAGAGTTAAGGGAATCTCCAGAGCTGCTTCAGAATATGAGCAGTATTTCCTTTGGTTTATTTTATTGGTACACTTTAGATATACATAAGACCATGTTCACCTGAGGGAAACTGTACCTGTGCATGACACATCTTCTTCTCCCTCAGCCGCTCCCTTTCCTTTAATTCCTCTTCCCTCCTTATCTACAAAAGCTTTGTTTCCATTTTTCATTTCTCTTCTCTTTTTTTCTTTTCCCTTCCTTCCTTTCTCCCCAACTCTGTCTTGTTACCCTTAGTGTATGGCACATGCATGCTAAGATGTCACAGTGCTTCTCTGGTGTGAGAATCCAAAAGTTTAAATCAGGATCAAACTGTGTAACAGACACTAAAAAAATGTAAAACTTCGAACATTAACCATTCCATACAGCTTCTACATGTACATTATATGTGTATGCAGTTTTATATATTGAAACTAAGGAAACACAAGAGACCCATAAGGTTTCTAAGACAAACTTCCACCTCACCATTCATTTAAAATGAATCTGGCATCTCATTTTCCAAGAGATGTGGCTTTTTGAATCAAGAAATTCAGATACAGGACTGTGGGCCTGTATCAATATTTTATTTTAATCTCCCTAACCCTGCTCAGAGCCTCCATTCCTTAAAATCCCAAATCCTGGCATCAACTACAAGGCTGGTTCCCTATGACACATGCCTTAATCTTCACCCCTCATCTCCACTCCTGTCCCCTCACTCTGTGTGTCCATCCCTGTTGTCCTCTGAGCCTTGTACACATGGCACCACCTTTACCTTCCACACAGCACAGGCCTGGCCACACTGGTCCTCCAGATCACTGGAACTAACCCTTCCCTGGCCCATTCCACAGTCTCCTCAGAGCTCCTCCCTGCTCTCACTGAGGTCCTCCTGCTCTTCCCTGGAAGACAGGCCACACTTCTGCCCTCTCCCAGCCCTGCAGGGTCCCCCGTCCCTCCTCCCATCACCAGTGTAAACTCCTAGCTGTCTGATTTTCTGCCTTTGGGTTTGCAAGGTCAGTGTGGGCCTGGCAGGGTCAGCAGGAAGAAGCCTGTGCATCCTGCAGGAGAGGGTCCCAAGCAGGAGGGTGGAAGATTTCAGAGCTGGGGGGAGGGCAGGGAGTGCTCTGGGATGAGCCTTGGCCCAGCAGGGAGTGAGGCTGGGTTGAGGAACCAATGAGGTCCAGTCCCTGTCTTGGGACCAGACTTTCTTTAGTGGAGGGACAGTTTTGGGAATCCAGTGGCAAAGTAGGGTCCTCATCCTTTGTGTTTCCTTTCTGGGGGAGGTGAAGGTGAACCCTGGGTTGCTGGTGTGTGCCTGTCTGGCAGTGCCCTCCCTGAGGAGGCGGTGACTTGGTCACTTCTGTCCCACAGCACGTTTCTTGGTGTATGGTAAATCGGAGTGTCACTTCTCCAATGGGAGTGAGCGGGTGAGGCTTCTGGCCAGATACATCTACAACCAGGAGGAATTAGTGCTCTTTGACAGCGAGGTGAGTGAGTTCCGTGCTGTGACTCAGCTGGGGAGGCCTGACGCTAAGGCCTGGAACAACCATAAGGACTTCCTGGAGCAGATGCGTGCCATGGTGGACACAGTGTGCAGACACAACTATCAGATTGGTGAGAAGACCATGGTGCAGAGGAGAGGTGAGTGTGGGGGCTGGGACTGGTGAGGAAAAGAGGGAGGGAGATGGAGAGAGGGAGAAAGAAACAGAAAGGGAAAGAGGAAGAAAGAGACCGAAGAAAAGAGAAGGTAAAGAGAGGGAAGGTGAGAGGGCCAGGCCCCTGCGACCTTCTCCAAGGCTTCTCTTGGGTCTCAGTTTCCTGCTGTTTGGGGTCTGTTTCTTTGCTTATGTAGTGCAATGCCTTTGCATAGCTGAAGAGTTGGCTAAACTGACCTTGGATCTACTGAACACACAGATGTTACCGTTTTTATAACCTAATAATCATAAAGTGGTTGCATATTTTTTTTTTTACTTGTAAGCCAGTTTGTGATTGCACTTGGTAAGAGCTTTTTTAAAAAAACAAAATAAGAATAAAAACGATGATACAGAATTTCAAAACCAAATAATAGGAGATTAACACTTGTTAATATATTGAGTATTGTTATCTTCAAAGTAGTTATTCAGATTATAAGACATAGGCAGGAAAAAATGATCAAAGAGTCAAACAGTGAAAGCACAAACTGCTGTTTTTGATGAATATACAGAGATTAGTAACATAGCTGTCTATCTTGTATATGTTCATATTGTATATATCGTATATTACATGTATAATCTTTTCCTTTCTTCCTTTTTTCCTTTCCTCTATCCTAGTGTTCTTTCCTTTTGAGCAACTTCTTTCCCTTTTGCTTTCACAGTATCTGTTGTACATTTTGGATCTTACTTACTCGTTCAGTTTTTTATGCTAGGATGACAATATGATATTTCCACATGTGAGTCTGATTTATTTCACTTATGAGTATGGTCAAGTAGCATTCATTTACCTATCAAAGCCTTGAGTATATCCTTCTTTATAACTGAGCAATGCCTTTTTTTTAAAAATACTGACAAGTTCATTTCTCCCTTACTATTTTGTGTGTGAGAGTTGTTCTTTGAATATCAAAATGTGAAAAAATATTCCAGTGTGCTCTGTAAAATAGTGTGATATTTGTGTGTGACTTGTGTATATGCTTCTTTGTATTTCAAATAGTGCCTAATCACTTACATTACCTAACGCTGTGTGTGCATCTACATCACTGCTGTGCTATTCAGGGGAAAATAACAAAAAAGTGGCTATGTTCACTACAAACATATGTTTTCCAGTATTGTTGCTACACAGGATTTTCCAGTGAGGAACCCTCCAACACAGAGGTCCGCCTGAACTCTAGAACATTATACTTTAAATTTTTAACTTTAAACTTTGATTTATAATGTTTGTGAACATTTTCCCACAACTATGAACAAATACTGTTATCCTAAAAGCTATTTCTTCTCTGGGGCCTGCTGCTTTCTAAGTGATTTTATGAGTTCTTCATGCATAAATATTCTTACTGCTTTCTTGCTATTTTATTCAGTATCGTCTCCATTTTCTGATATAAATTTCAGTTCTGTGCAATACTGCTCATGTCCAGAATGTAAACATTTTTAATAAAATTTGATGCAACATCGCTGGCATGATTTACTTGCAGTTGTATAACTGTCATTTTCTGCTATTGTGAAGATATGTCCCTTAGGAACAATGCCTTAGTGAGGCTGGTATGATGAGGGGTTTACCAGGCATGAAGCACATGTAATAATAAGTTCCAGGCACTGTGTTGACCACAAAGGTCAGTTCAGAAAGTGAGACAGATAACAGCCTGGGAACACTAAGCAGGTGTGTCTGGTAGAGGAGAGGCATTCCCCAGGTGAGTGAGAAAGAGGGGAGCTTCCTAAGAGATTCATTTCCCTTGCTGCTCTCCCTCTGCTCAGGACTCCTGAGTTCCCTGGGGCTCAGCTCTCAGCCTTAGAGAGTCACATCTCTGTCCCTGCTTCAAAGTGTGGCTCTGTACAAAGAGCATTCCCAGGATTCCATGCCCCATCCCCTTCCTACTCCACTGCTCCTCCCCAGCTTTCCTTGGGGTTGTGACTCAGATTCTCACATAGCAAACAGGAGAATGATAAACAGAGAAAATACATTGATGGCTAAAATCTAAAGGCCTTGTGAATTTTAGGTACTGGAATTCTAACATAACACTAAATGCTGAATCAATATCCTTGTCCTAATTACAGGTAAGATAAATGCTTCCTACAGAAATACAATGAGCTTTCAGTACTAGCCAGGGAGAGGGAGAGCGTACATTTGAACCTGAACAGTCTGGTTCCAGATATCATACTTTTAGTTAATACTTCATATGCTATGGAAAGAATTGAAAACATTTTGATCAGTAATGAACTACCAGGTCAAGTTATGAAAAATGTAATTTTTCCCCCAAATCTCTTGTGCCCTTGCTGTGTGGATTCACTTGCTGGCTCATGAGAGTGGCTCCTGTGAGACCCAGACAGGTGTGAGGAGCCTATCTGGGTCTGTTGCTGGAGAGGCAGAGAGGCAGCCAACGAAGACCTGCTCTGCTTCCTGACTGGTTCTCTCTACCCTTTCCTCTTCTAGTTGAGCCCAAGGTGACTGTGTACTCCACAAAGACCCAGCCCCTGCAGCACCACAACCTCCTGGTCTGCTCTGTGAGTGGCTTCTACCCAGGACACATTGAAGTCACATGGTTCCGGAATGGCCAGGAGCAGGAGATTGGGGTGGTGTCCACAGGCCTGATCCAGAATGGAGACTGGACCTTCCAGATCCTAGTCATGCTGGAAACTGTTCCGCAGAGTGGAGAGGTTTATGCCTGCCAGGTGGAGCACGTGAGCTGGAGCAGCCCTGTCACTGTGGAGTGGAGTGAGTGGGGACCCCTGACCTCAGCAGTTGCCCTCTCACCCATAAGGGGTCTCCCCTTATCCCTCACTATGAATTTTCTTTTCTCTGTACAGTGTTTTCAATTTCTTCATCTTCTGATCTCCTTCAGGAGAATCCATGCGGGAATAACAGGAAGTTTCTACCAACACTTACACTTTTTTGATGGGGAACTGCTTCTCATGGAGAAGAAGTCTCCCTGTTTTGAAGCTTCTTGTGTTATCACTGCTCACAGTTGCTCCTTGGCCCTATCTCCTGACCCTGCTGTGGGCTGAGTCTGTGATTATGGGGTTGCTGCTCCAGGCTGTTCACTGTGGTCTTTGAGGAGGAGCAATGCAGGGTCTTTCTGAAAGGAGTGGAGTCCTCCTTCAGCTCTGCCTTCCATGATCCTGGATGGCTACTCAGCCTCAGAGTTACAGACATTGCACACATCCAGGGATATTGCAGGGCTGTGAGATTTCTGTGAATTCAGGGCCTTTGCCTCACACCTACTCAGTGCAATTTTTAGATCCTTCTTCCCGAAAATGGCCAAGTCTGGATTTTCACTGCACTCATCGTTCTTCTAGTCTTAAAATTCTAAATCTCAGGGACTCAATTAAGCAATTAGATCTAGGCTAAAAAATATTCTGTAAACCTGATGTCTTCCCTCAGGGTCCGAGTCTGGATCTGTACAGAGCAAGAAGCTGAGTGGAATCGGGGGCTTTGTGCTGGGTCTGCTCTTCCTTGCCTTGGGGCTGTTTATCTACTCCAGGAATCAGAAAGGTAAGATGCCTACTGCTGGGTAAGATGCTCCATATACTTGAAAGAGTTGCTGGCCCAGACCGGACACTTTAACCAGGAAAAGCTGCAGCCAAGTTAGGGGACTCCTGCCTCCCCCGCCCCCTATAGATTTAACTGTAACCCTATACCCCCATCCCTAGGAACCTGTCTCTGGCGCTAAACGTGTGCCAATGAAATACCTGTGCATTTCTAATGGCCTTAGGGCACTGTCCTAAGCTTAGGCTATTTATATTCCCCCACGCCACGTGTCCGAGAAAGAGATCGCCAGATTCCAGCGGCCAGTGCGCCAGTCTCCTCTCCCCGTGTTCCCGGAATAACCACGGCCCCAGGTGCAGTGGAGATGCTGCGCCCCGGGGCCAGGGGGGTCTCTCCCCGCATTCCCAAAATAAAGCAACCGCCACCCACTACTTTCAGGGCCGTCCACTCCACTCCTTCCACGGACCTCTTCCTCTTCCTCTTCCTCTCCCTCTTCTTCCCCCTCTTCTCAGACCTAACAATACTTTTCTAAGGGAAGAAATTACTGAGTTTTGTTGGATCATTGAACAGAACTGTTTGCAATCTCACTGTTGGAATGTCCACTTTATAAGCTTCAATTTTGTAACTTGAACAATTGTTTCTGAGATGACAAAATGTAATCCATTAACTAGTGATTTCCTACTGTTTATTTTTTTCTGTAAATCTGTATAACTTGTACCCTTTCTCTGCTTTTTTTCTTTTCTTTTTTTCCTTAAATTAAAAAAAAAAAAAAGAAATAGTGCTTCACTGAGGATAGTTCTCAGTATATTGGTAACCCTCTTAGAAACCCTTCTTCTCTCAGGTTACCTCAAATTTACTGAGAACAGAGAAAGCAATCTTTATTGTGCCCTTTGTTGAATCTCAGGATCTGTGCCCTGCAGATTCAAGAGGACAGGCTGATCACCCTAGAAACACTGGCTGCACAGCTGTGGGTAAGGAAGCAAGAGCACCGGGCAGGGCTTTCTTGGCACAGAGGCTTCCTCAGTCACAGTCTCTCAGTTTGTGCTTCTTTCTCTGCCTTAGCTGGACAGGGTTCCACTGTGGCAGATCTGATACTGGGGATGCTGCCTTTGGGGACTAGGGGATAGGTTTTCCTCCAGGTCTTTTATGTTTCTAATCTCCCTCTCTTTTCCAGGACACTCTTGCAGTTCAGCTAACAGGTAATATCCTCATATCTTCTACCATAAACAGATTTGTTCTCCCCATAAAGGACTATCAAGGACACGAAACATGAATTAAAATAGTGGGAAAGATTTTGGATGCAAGTTCTGATCAGGGACCTGCACTAAACCTTCTTTATTAACAACATGAACACTGTACTTTTGAGGTTACTTTGGCTCAGAGAAACTTAAAATTTCTGTTTGTTTTCTTGCTGCAATGCTATCATGGACCTGAAAGTGAAGAGAAGTTGCATGCAGAGTGAGGTGTGGAAACATTGCTGTCCTCTGTCCCTGCAGGACTCCAGAGCTAAGGAGATGGTGACAGCACTGAAGGGAAGGATTGTGTCTCTACTGCTCCATGTCTTCTCCATGTCATGTCAGGCTTCCTGCTTGGCTCTTGTTCCCCCACAGAGAGAGGCTCTCCTGGTGCCCAGGACCACACAGAACATGTCTCCCTGATGGCTTCCTCTGCCCCTGGGCCCATCTTGAATCTCAGACTGCAGAGCCTTCCCTCCATTCCCTCCTGGACCCTCTGCACTCTGCATTCACCTGCTCAGTGCTTCTGCACTCTGCAGTGAAAAGTTGCTTTGTTACTTTTTTTGGTCAAATGAACATAGAGTGAAAAATCATCTGCTCCCTACAGTTTCAAGGACAAAATATAAAAAGAATATTTTCTTCCTACTTACAAGTATCTATCATCTATTTTGCTTCTTGTATACACAAGGGGAGGGAGTGAGATTAGGGAGAGAATGGCAAAGGGAAAAAATATTCTAGAAGGAAAAATATGGAAACAAATCTGCATATAGGGAGTAGAAGAAGGGATTAAGGAGGGGTGGGCATGGGTTTAAACAAAGAAGAATCCAGATACTTTATGTACAGGTAGAAATTTCCTGTGATGAATATGGTTATTTTGTACATCAAAATATTCCAATAAAATTAACTTGAAAATAGAAAAGAGAACAGAAGGACCAGCTCACAAGACACCACCGAGTTTCATTTCTGTACAGTAAGTGCGTGAGGGGATGTTAAGCGGGTTTTCCTCTTGGAACTCTGCACGCTGATAGTGTTGTGCATTCTGTTACAGCGTGAGCCACAATTTTACTGGGATTTTCTTTCTTCAGAGGAAGAAATAATTTATCTCAATTTATGTGAGGACTGTGATATGAAACTGTGAGGTAGAATTAGAGCATAAGACAAAATTTCAGTCAAAGTGCTTTGTGCTCCAAAGAGCTGGGAATCCTGTTTAATTGTGCTGTTTTTATGCTTGATGTGGCAGTAGGTGTTGAATCCACCTGGGGTTTTTCTAGGCCTGCTCACTTCAGCATGTAGGTGGCACCTGCAATGACCCTGCAATTTCACACCTCATTCGCAGCCCCTGGCTGCCTCAAGATGGCAAAAGGACCCCCCCCCCCCCTAGGTTGCAGGTTCGTTCAAAACACCTTGCACTGGCAAGAAGGGGAAGCCCTTCTTCTTGAGTGATTCTGTAAGCAAACGTTTCAAGTTTCCAGTGAAGCTGTTTACTCATCCCTAGGAACTAGCAAGGGATTTGTTGACAGATCTGACAAATCATCCTTCATGCTTTGTGGACTGGGCCTGATACCTTGGGAAGAAATGTGCATTGTCATCTCTGTTTGAAAGAAAAGACTATTAAAAGAGAATGGTTTCAGAATAGGGAAATGACCATTTCTGATACCATTATATTGTTAGTGTTTTTAGTTAATTTCCTCATGCAGGCCATTAGATTTTTTTTCCTTTTTTCTTTTCTTTTCTTTTTGTTGTACTCTAGAAAAAAAAAAGAACTTTGTTATATTTGTATTATACCTAAATACCTGTAATGTGGCCATACTGTATATATGTCCCCCTTCCCCCTTCTCCCTCTGGATGACATAATTGATATGTTAATCAATGCTCTCCTTTGTAAAGAATTGTAAATTCCTGCAAGACTTCTCTGTCTTCTTCTAAGGGAAACAAAGGTTGCTAATTGCTGCTAGACTCCTCTATTCTCTGCTGAGGAAAACAAGATCTTCCCATTAGCCTATTTCCTGATCCATTCCCATGACCTTTACTTTGGGAGCTGTGATAGGTACTAGAGGGGAGGGAAGTATTGAGGAGAGACACACAGCTTTTGTAGTCTCCAGCTGCACTGTGTCTCTGGGCCCAGGGTAAAATAAATCAGCGCTGCTTTTTAAAATATGTTTTTGCCTAATTTTTAAAACTCAAGCTTGGGGGCTTATTTGTGGATTACAAGGCCTTTTCTTTTCTTTTCTTTCTTTCTTTCTTTTTTTGTTTGTTTTTGGTCTTTTTTGAGACAAGTAATAGCTATGCTGCTCAGACTTCACCTTGAGCTCCCATTGTAGCTCTGGCTGATTTCAAACTTGCCAGGATCCTCCTTCCCTAGTCTCCTGAGTGCTGGGATTACAAGCTAGATTCTTGATAAGAATTCTGAATGGCTGTCTTTTTTAGAAAGATATACTGAATATTAAAAGCCAGCCAATAACTCAAATACAGTGAAACAGATAAAATGTCAAAATGTTGCTCATTTTTGGAAGCAAATATGCTAATACATAATTTTATAAGGAAAATACATTTTCCAAAGATTTTCTTAAAACAATACATAACAATGAAAGTCTAACTTTGTAAAGTGCTATATTCTGTGGTACATTATTTTAGCAAACACATTTTTATATTCTTTCATTAAATACTCTAGTAAAATTTTGATCACAATGAGAGCCCTAAAAAGCAGAGAATTATTTGAGATAGTTTCAATTTGTTAACAGAATATATTCCAAAGTTATTCCTTTAACCAAATTACTCTCTGACAAATAAACTTGGAAACAATAGAATAAACTATGACATTAATACAAATTATATCTCGTGATCATTATTGTAAATATGTTTGCATATCAACTCATCTAAATCCTGATGTGATTTCTGATGAGAATGCACAACATTTTATATACTTTGGAAAACAACAATTTTTTAACCTAAAAAGTTAAACATTTCCCATTATACTTGGCAATTACATACTTTCAAGATCTTAGAGAACTCAAAGACAAAACAAAATAAAACAAAGCAAAAGAAAATGTCTGGGTACCAATAGCAGGTACAGTTCACAATATTCACATTATAGAATCACCCTTGGTACACATCAAAGGATGAATGCATTCAGAAAATGTGTTACTTATTGAAAAATAGAGTATATTCAATCATAAAGAAAAGTAAAGTCATACTTTCTGTTAGGTCTGAGAAGGGGGGGATGGGGAAGGAAGGAAGGAATGGAGTGGAGTGGATGGCCACGGCTGCAAAGATAAGAAGTATAAAATATAAGTAACCTTGGGGGCTGGGGATTTAGCTCAGCGGCATAAGCACCTGCCTTGCAAGCAGGCAGTCGTGAGTTCAATCCCTGGTACCGATAAAAAGGAAAAAGACAAAAAAAAAAAAAAAAAAATATATATATATATATATATATATATATGTAACCTTTATTTCGGGAATGCGGGGAGAGGACCCCCCCCCCGAACCCCGGGGCACAGCATCTCCACCCCGGGGCCGGTGGTCTCTCTTTGGAACACACTCTCTCTCTCTAACACATGGAGTGAGGCCCATAAGTAGCCTCTGCCTGGGGTGGACGCCAAGGGGCATTAGGGATGCACAGGTAGCCCACTGGCACACATTTGGTGCCAGAGGCAGGTTCTTAGGGATGGGGGTATAGGGTTACAGGTAAATCTCTAACGGGCGGGGGAGACAGGAGCTCCTTAATTTGGCTGAGGCTTCTCCTGGTTAAAGTGTCCAGTCTGGGTCAGCAACTCTTTCATATCCCGTCTTATGATTATTAGGAAAAGGGTCTAAGATTTCTCTCTGTAACTACTTCCTGCTGGCTGAGGGCACTGTATTGGGGTTTAGGGGAGTCAAAGGGATGAAGGTTGATGCCCAGGTAGATGCTGATGTTAGTGTTTTAGCCAGGACAACTTCACTGGTGAATGCACGTATGTTAGACTGAAAAAAAAAAAAAAAAAAAAAAAAAAAACCAAAGAAACAAGATATTATGAGGGCACATGGCACTGTCATATTTATGGACCCAAGTGAGGTAGAGGGAAAGGTGTCTTTGATTTAGACCTGTTATTCTATCAGGATGTTGAGGTGGCAAGGCAGAATTCTGAAAAATTAAACGTGGGATTAGGAGGAGTGAAGTTATGAGAGGTGCTTACTCACCCATATGAAAGCATAAAAGTTAAAAGGTAGGTAGGTAAGGTTTGTCTCTGGTATATATGACATTGGGGTCTGTAGGCAATCCTGTTAGAGAGTCCTGCTATAGAAATGATCATTAATAGAATGTAAGAAATTAAGAATCAAACTGGACAACAAAACATGACAACCTGTGAGTCATAAGGCAGAGATGAGTATCAAAAGGATGGTTAGATCTAGGGCCTGAGTGATGTGAAACCAGGATGGCAGTTTAAAGGGAATAAAAGCATTTTAAGATTTAGGACTGGGACCTGTATAAAGATAGGCCCTGTTTGTAACTGGCATAGGTTGACCTTTAATACTCCCTGAGACATTGAGGATTTATTAGCCTAAAAACTCAGTAAGAACTCTGTATATGTGGCCTCTTATGTCCACGAATATAGAGAATATCTTACCTTGAGAGTTTTAATGTGATTTGGATTCTGAGACAGATATCCACCAAGGCGGTTGGCCCCTGTGACCTGTGAGGGTTACCAGTTAGGGTGGCCAGGCCACTCTCTGGTGGCCAGGATAGCCTAAACAGCCCTGGAGTAAGGTCTCGAAGAATGCCAGGATGGGGGATTTTGTCTGATGTCTTCTGATGAATTTGAGTGAGGCCCATGGCGGGGGAGGGGGAGCAGGTAGCTTCACCTTGTGTAGATTTGTCTGTCTCAGAATTGTAAGTGCTATTTAAAATATGAACAACCATAGCAAGGTCTCTGTGGAGCTTGAAGGTCAAGTTTTGCCTTTTTGTTTGAGATCTGGGCTATAAAGTTATCTGTAGAATTAAGTAAGTATGTAGGAGCTTAATATTGGCATTTAAGATTATAAGGCAGGCAGGCTGGTAAAATTATCAGGTGGCCAGTAATAGTGAATAAATGGTAGAAAAATTTTAAGAAAAAAAATAGTTTTTTAATAGTTCACTCTCTTGAGTGGAACTGAATTGTAAACAAAAGTTTGGGCGGGGCCGCGAGACTTTGGAAACGCTCAGTGTTTAAGACAGCTTGAGACGCTGAGATAGCACCTGTAAGAAGAGAGCAGAGTTGTGCCTGGGGTGGGATGAGCACCACCACACAGTAGGCGGAGGGAGGCTAACATGGAACATGCAGAGTGGGTGGAGCGAACACGGGACATGGTAGGCGGGGCAGGCTGAGGTTCCACCCAGATGCTTACCGTGATGCGCTAAGAGGGTGCAGGGAGCTGCCACCGCATAAGGGGGTGGGGCTTGGAGGCCTGCAATGGTGATCAGAGGTGGCCCCTGGCGCCATGGAACTATGGTGGCCGTGGCATGCGCCCGGCACATGTCCGGTGCCATGGGGCGGCAGTGGCAGCCTGTGTGCCGGGTGCCGCGGAGGGGCAGGCTGGCAAGGAACATGCAGAGTGGGTGGGGTGAATGCTGGGACACAGTAAGCGGGGCAGGCTGAGGTCCCACCCAGGTGCTTACTATGATGTGTTAAGTGGCGCAGGGAAATGATGTGTTTTTGCTGTGACCACGTAAGGCGGTGGGGCTTGGAGGCCTGTAGTAGTGGCCAGAAGTGACGCCTGGCATCACGGATGGATGGCAGCTACAGCTCGCGTCCGGCGCCCCGGAGGGGCGGGGCGGTGGCTGCAGCGGCGGCAGCGGCAGCAGCAGCGCAGTCAGGGGCATGGCCCGCTGTGCGCAGGGCCCCACGCGTGGGGTGGGGCGAGGCCGGCGCTGTGGCGGCGGGAGACACACAACATGAAGCCAAGTGGCCTCTGCTCTGAAGGCTCACGGGCCGCGCCGGGACCCCCGGTGTGCTGTGAAAGCGGTGGCTCCAGGGCGGCGACAGTGGGCGGGGGGGGGGGGGGCACGGCGTGGGCTGGGCGGGGGCGCCATGGCCGGGGATGTGGCAACGGGCGTGGGGCGCCCAGGCCGGGGTGGCGGCATGGTCAGGGACGTGGGCCACTGCGCATGGGGCCGTGGCGAGGATAGTCTCCCGGGCATCCACCAGAGGCGGAAATGATTGGCTCAAATGAGCCGGTGCAGCACAGAACAGGCTAGGCGAGAAGCTGAAACTGGGGCCCACAGAATTGGAACGTGATGTGAGAGCGAAAAGAAAAAAAGCTGTTTAAAATTTAGAGCAGTTTTATGTGAATCTCTTATTGTCTGGTCTCATTTAAATCTCAGCAGCAACGGCGGTGGCAGGGGTGGGTTGACGCCCATGGGAAACAAAGGGATCTATTAAGGCGGTGGGAGGGGGGGAGAGGAGCCAGGCGCGGGCGGGGGCGATCCACGGGAAGGGCCCGGCTCATTGCCTCGTGACTGCCGGACTGCCGGTGGCCCCCCCGCTGGCCGCTGATGCCACACCGCTTGAGCGGGAATGAAGGGCACGCAGAACAGGGAGAAAGGGGGAGGGAACACGCCTTGGGAAACAAAGAGCCTGGTTTAGTGGCTGTCTCCGGAGAGTTACTCACCTGGTGGGTGTTGGTTGAGAAGCAGCAGTGGAGGTTAGGATTTGTGAGTGTAGAAGTGAGGAATCTTGAATAGCAGGGGACTAGAAACCAGGAGTATATCACCTGCTGTCAAGTCACGGCACCATCTGTTAGGTCTGAGAAGGGGGAGATGGGGAAGGAAGGAAGGAATGGAGTGGAGTGGACGGCCTCGGCTGCAAAGATAAGAAGTATAAAATATAAGTAACCTTTATTTCGGGAATGCGGGGAGAGACCCCCCTCTGGCCCCTGGGGCGCAGCATCTCCACCCCGGGTCCAGCGGTCTCTCTTTGGAACATTCTCTCTCTCTCTAACACATGGAGTGAGGCCCATAAGTAGCCTCTGTCTGGGGTGGACCCCAAGGGGCATTAGGGATGCACAGGTAGCCCATTGGCACACCTTTGGCGCCAGAGGCAGGTTCTTAGGGATGGGGGTATAGGGTTACAGGTAAATCTCTAAGGGGGCGGGGGAGGCAGGATCTCCTTAATTTGGCTGAGGCTTCTCCTGCTTAAAGTGTCCGGTCTGGGTCAGCAACTCTTTCACTTTCAAGGAAATAGACAGAACTGAAAATCAACATGTTAAGTAAAATAAGCCAGACTCAGAATGGCAAGTATTTCATGTTTTCCTAATTTGTGGAATTCAGGGGGAGAAAAGATAACATCAAAGTAGAAGGAGGCTGTTAGATCATTGGAAAGGGGTTAGAGCAAGGGGGAAAGGACAGTTGAAAGAATAAGGGGGTGGATAAGATCATATAGTATGTAAGGATATATGTGAATGTCACATTGAAACTCAATGTTCTGTATAACAAATATGCTCTAAGATTCACACACACATGCACATACAAATTAGGTGTGCTAAAATGCAGAGCACAACTGGTAACACACACGTGGTAATTTCAAATTTTTGTATTTATTTAAATAAGTTTTGTGATCCAGTATATGATCTATTTTGGAGAAACGTATCTTGTGCTGCAAGAATGTGCACTCTTTAGTAGCACAGGGGAGTATTCTGTTAATATCTATTAAGTCTTCACATTTAAACATATTGTGAGCTAATGTTTCTTTATTTTTGGTTGATCTATCTCTTTGTGAAAGTACTGTATCTAG